CACAGCGAGCTCTTTCTTTGCTCCTTCCCTGTCTGGCGGCAGACTCTCTGCCCCACGACTGCAGATCAGACTTCTGGGTGTCTCCTCTGAGTGTCTATGCAGTGCTGGGGCAGAAAGGCTTACCAGCATCAGGTCACCTCCTGAGGCCCTTACCACCTGCTCACGAATCCGCACCTCCAGAGGCACTGCCCTTGTTCAAAAAGGGAAGAGACATAGGGTGCCATCTATTCACATCATCGACCCCAAGGAGGTCAACATATTGAAGCTGCACACTTGGTAGGTGGGTATGATCACCTGCACCTGCCTTCTTTTCCTAGTGAGGGTTTATCAAGGTTAGGCCATTTGGAGAGTCGGGGAGGAAGGGTAATTGAGCATTCGCAGCCAGACGTACACTATGTGCAGGTTCTCTTTGATTAATTTTGCCTTTTCTTTCTCATTCCTGCAAAACATCTGCAGTCTTATGAATTATCTCCCGCCATGATCTACCTGTGGAAGTGAACTATCCCTACAATCTGTGTGTCTGTTTAATCCAGAATTTCATGGGTGCCTTCAGTTAGAGTTTTGCCCGGGTATGAGTTGCAAACTCTCACATCCTGTAGCACAGCTAACAGGACAGCAGTCCTCGCTCTTGGTAGAGATGACAGCCCAAGACAATGGCAACCAGTCAGAAGGATGCAGAAAGACAATCTCCACCCAACCGGAACACTGTGCAATGTGTTTATGTTCAAGTCACAGCCTAACAAACATAAAGTAATTCAGCACCAAGCACACAGCTTGTCAATTAGCTCCTCTTTTCCAGGGAAAGCTTTATCTTCTAATCATGTATAAACAGATAATGAATATTAAAACATGATAGGGTAAAACTATCCAGTTCACAGTGCACTCTTCTACAGACTTCAATTAAAAAAAAAAAACAAAAACAAAAACAAACAAAAGGGACACATTTCTTCTCCAGGCAGCTCCTGTTCCACCCTTGGATGACCGGTTTGAGACTGTTAATGTCTTTTTTGCTGAGGTCAGGGCAAAGCAAGTGCTTCGTATGTGCAGGTATAGATTGGGGAATAGAACCGTTTTCTTTTTCTTTACAGGTAGATTAACAGAGCTCTGTTTACTGGCTTATTACTTGCTCCCTGCTCATTGTCAGGTAGGTGCATGAAATGACAACAGTTTCAGACTCTCCCCTAGGAAGGAAAGGATCTTGTTAATTGAAAAATAGTAACACAGACCCTCTGTGTGTCCCTGGCACTCAAATAAAACAGGACTGTAAGTCCAGTAACATCCCGTTACTTGGGGATGATAAGCCAACACTGTGGCTGACAGAATTCATTTACAATAGCTCACAAGCTCCCATTTGTACCGCTATGCTGACTGCCTGATGACTGTCTGGAGAACATGAGTGCCAAATTCTCTTCAAGTTGTCATACTGCTAGAATGTGATGACTCAACTTTTTTTTTTTTCCCTTTTTTAATATACCATAGCTCTGGAAATGCATTGAATACCCATTTTACAGTTTGTGACAATATATGTGTAGTGTTGACCTGTCTACATGGTGAATGAAAAACACATTAGGATATGGATGCCTCAGGCCTTGCTCTGGCTCCATGGAGATAGGTGTTACAAGGCTATGAAAGTTTCAGAGTGTAAGAGCGTATATTGCAGTGCACAGCTGGGCTGCAGCACACTCAAATGTTTATTAGCTTTAGATTTTCCTAGAGTTTTGTTCAAAGAAAAGGGCCTCAAGCTCCACCCAGCTCTTATTTGAATCAGATGCTAACATATCCCTTCCTATTTCCTTCTTGTGCATGTGATTGTCTTTCAAATGTGAGCTTGTAACTAGCCAGATGTTTTGTACTACCACCTACATTAAAGACCATAACCAAGTCAGGAAAAAAACCTCCCATAACCTAATTGGGTTTTGCACTTTTATCTTCATGACTCCTTCCTGGAGGATGTCCTTTATATGTGTGTGTATATATACATATATAAAAAAGATATATATTATATATATGTATATAAGAGCTAAATTGACTTTTCTGGGTGCTAATAAACCACTGCTGTCAATGATACCTTTGTGAGGTAAGAATAAAAACATGCAGTTCCTCTAAAAAACAAACAAACAAACAAGCAAAATATAGCCCAATAGCAGCACGGCGAATTAACAGTCTTCTGGGCAATAGTTTTTATTACTGTACCCAAGTCTAAGACACATACTGCTGTCTCCTGTTCCTACAAACCTGTAGTGAAGGTGAACAAAAAGTCCCCAGAACCTGCAAAATTTAAGTGTGCATTCAGCTGGACTTAGTGGATAGTCGCAACAGAAATCACACCAATGAAGATAAAGGCCACTACTTTCATGAATAATGCATCGCTCTCTTACATCATCAAATTTGAGGGCAAGGGAGAGACACTGTACCTGTAAGATCATTACAGCTAAGATGGTGCTGGGTACAGGAAGGAAAAGAATTGGACTATGAGTTGTGCAATAGCTTGTGATATCCATCGGAGAGATCAGAACTGGAGTCCTGACATTCAGTCTTCTGCTGTAGCTGCTGACTTGTTTGCAGTTTCCAGCTACATCCCAATTATGACATCTGTAGATGTGTTTGCCAGAATGGCAAAGTTTGCAAGCCCACACTCTCCTAAAAGAAAACTGAGTTCTGCTTGTGTAGCTTATTGTTTGGTCTGTCCCTATGTGTAACTTTTCAGGAACAAACATGGAGTTAAATCCAGCAGCATTCCACATGTGCCCTTCTCATTTATTGAAGTTTCAAGATAGTAGATAGTTTTCAAGTTATTCTTACTTATAAAGCCTTTATAGTTCCCTAACGACAGTAGTGCAACATTTTAATTTCTTTTTGTTAGTAAAACATACAAGAATAACTGTTGTGATAACACTGTAAATAGATACCCAAATGAGTGCCTCTTTCATTGTTCATCATTCTGTTTTTTCCCCGAAAATTATCAAACATGAAATTATGTTCTCAGAGTTTGTTCCCACTGAGGACTGGATTTACAGTTTTTACCTTATGGCATAGAAATATAAATAAAAATTAACTGCATAGGTCTCATAACTTGTGACATCCCAACAGAGCCTGTGAGAATGTATTGGTGATTAAAAGTAAATATAGTAATAATACATCCCTCTTACTATGCTAGAATTGATAATATTTTTGCTAAAAAAGTAAACACACATATTTGCCTACCCATATAAATTTTTAAAAAATCAAGTTTTGACAGAATTCCATATGGGCAAGGTCAATGAAAAGATCAGCATCTAAAAATATGAGCCATATTATCAAATGGCCTCATTGGTTGTGGAAGTCTTTATAATGTAACTTCTAAAGATTGTCAGTATATGCTTAATAAGTTTATCTCAAGATTTACTGAAGCCAGTGAGAGCCCTTCTGCTGTTTTTCAAAGCCTGTATTAGGAAAAAAAAGGGAGTATGTTATCCAAGAAACACTAGCAACAATCACACTACTCAGCCTTGCATTATGGAAGCCAACCGCAGTGCCAGCTTTAAGATAGCAGTAGAGGAGCAGAGTCCCCTGCATGGCCACAACCTTAGTTAATAATACCACAGAAACCCAAATTCTTTTGTGTATCTGAATTCAAAGGAAAGCACATGATCCAGAAGATTACAAACAGCTAAGCATTCCATAGTTTGCAATTTCATTGCTGCTTTCCCCTTTCTTCTCCTTGTTGCAACTTTTCTACAAAAGATACTAAAATAAAACAGATGCATTTGTAAATGCCTTTGAAACAGACTTTGGTAATTACTCTGCCTCATGATCCAGCTAAAGAGCTTCTACTGAAAAAGTAAATCACTATAGTTAAATAAAAGAGGCAAATTGCTGTTGTGTGTCTATTAGAGCAAGGGCAATCTCTCACAGAGAACTGGGATGCGTTGCTATCCGACAGGGAGATGACGGAAAGGAACATATGTGGCTTCCCCTTCATTTCCCATTCCTAAAGCTTTGGTTGGTAAGACAGCTAGTAATTTGTTGTTATTAAATATTGTTCAAGAGTTTCAAAGGAATGTATGCATTTTTGTGACCTTGTCTACTATTTTTGGAGCATTAATCTACACATTTTGAACACTACTTTAATCTGAGGATGTGATCCATTAACCTGAATGTGGGAGACTCTTGGATATTTGCAAATATTGGAACAATGACTCGATAAATTATTTCAACTTGGACTTCAAATTATGGAATGAAGAACATATTTGTTTTGAATCAAACAATGAAATACAGCTTTCACCAAAAAGAAAATCCCCAAATTTCTATAAGTCAGTGGAAAAAATAATTTATTGCATTTTCTTTTGCACATTAACATGAAACATTTATACATACATATTCTGTGCTGATAAGGTATACTAGATATAGACAATTTTTTTATACACAAAGTAATTGCACTATCCTATTTTATAATGCAAATATTCAGAAATTATCAGTCAGATAAGAATGGATATTATTCACATAAAAATGCACTGTATGTTGAAGCTATAGAAGGTCTACGCATCTGAAACCTTGTCCACTTTTACTAACTGTATCTGCTGATAAAAGACACTATGTCCCCTTACAAGCTTTACATCCCTTAATTACGCCATGATGCCTAGAATATTATCAGGTCCTCCCAAGGGATAAAATAAGATAATTTCTGAAAATTAGAGAGGCCAAACCAAAAGGCAACCATGACAACCATGTCCATGCAGCATGCCTTTCAATTCTGGGGGCTCCATCAGAAAAGAATCAAAGCACTACAGGTGGTCTAAAATTGTCCAGCAATCTGTTATTAACGTGAAAACTTAATTTAGTTAATACAAATCAATGAGATACATTGCAAGTGAGCAGCATTTCAGTAGAAGTACATTGGCACATGCTTCAAATGGCAGTATCAGACAAACAACTGTCCCCTTTCATACAGAACATGTTTACATAGTGTCTACAAAGGGAAAATGCAGGATCATATCAAAAGAGGAACCTTTTTCTAATCAGGAATTTAGAGTGCATCAAGTGTTATTCATAAAATGCATAGAAAGTGCGGTAATAGCAGAACTAAATCTGATAAACAACATTATACAATTATTTTTATAATGCTGCTTTAGGTAGTATTTTTAAAAATAGTTCTTTAGGCTCATTGTTCTGCTCAACAAGTGAAATACCTGTCTTTCCAGAACCGTCACTGATTCACGTAACCACTATACTTCAGAGATGAAGATGAAGATGTGAAGCATCGGATTGAAGCGGTTAGTTGTGGCGTGCATACTACAAAATTTTATTCTGGTGGTAGGAAGGGCCACATGACTGACGTGCAAAAATGCATATCAAAAAAAGGAAAGCTTGAAATACATGCTCACAGCAGAGAGATAACAATACCAAACATTAAGGAAAAAAAAATAGCAAGCGAGCATGGAGAAAAATGGTGAGTATGATTTCAGGAGTAGGGCAAAAGACAATGGTACTGCACATGGCAATGGAAGATACGATGTGAAATAACATCGATAATTCAACCTTACTGCCTGGCACCCTATTTGGAGACAGTATTGCACCCTATCCAGCATCCTCTTCCTCTTCCCTCAGCTCAGAAAGCATCTTGCTTTGTTTCCTTGAGTGCATGCAAGTAGAATTTGAGAAGTAAGGGATTTTCTTTGAAGCAACAACATTGTGGGTCAATGCAGTGACAAAATACATTTTACAACTTGCAACCAATATCAGTAAATAATAAAAATAATAAAACACAGCACAGGTAACGCACATATTTCTTTTGTATGTGTTGTATGTAGGAACGTAACAATTTCTACATTCCCTGATGAACCACCAGCTCTGACTGAGATACTTCAGCTTGTTCCCATCGCTAGTGCAGGGACAAGGCAGAAGAGAAAGATATTTGAAAGTGGGGAATGATGGAAATTGCAGTCAAGACATTTGAGGCTCTCTGCAAGCTTTACTTTTTACAACAAATCTTTGTCAAGAGGGAAGCTGCAGCTGAACCTTTGTTAAAATAATAATGATAGTAATTAATCTTATAACATGCAAACAAGCAAATGCAAAATGAGTAATTATCACAGTTGCTTTTGTTATATTTCTGATGCAATTATAATTTTTGCTGTAATGGTATAATGGAAGAGATCTCTTAAGTGGAAAAAAGTAAAGGAGCAGCACTCCAAACCAACACTGATTCTTGTAAATCAGGTCTTTCTCAGAAGTAACTACTGCTCATGGTGACTGATACTAGAGATGCCAACTTAGGAGCGAAGTTTGAGGTATGCCAAGCTGCTCCAACCCTATCATTTTCTACAGGCCTAGCAGAGAGACAGCATATTTTAAGCGTTGGTTTCATATCTCTATGCAAGCTGTATTTTGTCCTCTTTCCTCACCTTATATTACTGGGCTTCAGGGTAAAATATTATGCTGACAGATATGCAAATCCTGAGCTAATCACTCGCTAAGGGATATAATGAAAAGGTGAATCTATCACTAATGTGAATCTATCCTAGATTTAAAGATATTGGAGGTAGAAAACTTCACAGTAAAAGGACAATCAGCAGAAATATCTTCAGGATGATTTAAAGAAATATTTTCATGTTTAGTTTTATAATCCACTTCTTGCAATACTCTGGAGTGACCTTTCAAGAAATTTACCATATAGTTTCTGAATATATGTTAACATGCCATATTTATTGTTATGAACAGTCCAGCTGAAATTAACGGCACTGCACGTGATAATACATTGGAATGTTTGAAAGGTCAGAGAGAGTAAGATTCTGAAAAGAAAACCAGAAGTACACCCTTGCCTAAAGCAAAGTGATTATTCTAAGGTAATCAAACAAAAAAGTTGGTTATCCGATTTCTGCTTTTGGATTACAACTACTATGTATAGCCTATAAATTGCCAGAAATAACATGTAGAGTACCTTCACAAGACAAAGAGAAACTGCAAACAGTTCAGAACATCTTAAAGGAGTGAAACTCAGTGCATCTTTCTGTGTATGGACAGATGAAATTGTGCAGGGAGTGAAAAAGAATTAAAAGATTAGAGGATTATATTCTTTCACTTTTCAGAATCACCTCTGACAAAATGATTATCAGTTCCAAACACCACATGAATGTATCTTTCTAGTCTCCTATTCTCCCAAACTTACTACAATTTAGAAGAGGTACCTGTGATGGGAGAAGTACTTCTATCTGTAAGAATACATATCTAAATTTCAGAATTAGCAAGAATTAACAAAAACTAACAAAAATTAGAGAGACTTTTTGAGTGTGCTTAAACTGTGAGTCTTAAGTGCTCCTGAAAATCAGGCTGACAGTATTTTTCTGTCAGGTTTATTCCTGTTCTCATGTCCCCCTCTACAAAGCTCAATTACTAGATAATAGTATCAGCAAGTACCTCTCAGGACTGCTGTGAGGATTAACAAATCCAACTGTTGTACAAGATCTCTACAAGGAAATTGCAATATTTTAAATTCTGAACTATCTGAACCCTGTATTCACATTAAACATGTGTGAGGCTGAAACAAGGAAAATACCCATCCGACTCAGTATTCCTCTGAAATTTTACATTTAAGATTACAATGTGCCCTGCTACAAAAGATAGGACATAATTTATAATGCAGAAAAAAGTGAAAGATGTTTAATTAAAATATATTTTAAATACAACTATAGATTTGAAAGAATAGTAGCCATGTGAAATTGTAGTTAATTTTGATATAGAATAAAAATAGCAAACTATTATCAAAAGTGGCACCCAGAATATTAAGTAATATATATTAAAATACAGAATTCAGCAGAGTTGAAGTACAGGCTCTCCCTTGAAGCTTAATATTGGGAGTTACCATTAAAAAGTGGGTATTCATATACTTGGGTACCAGCGGTAATAAATCTGGATTAGATCTCCTAAAGAGCCCAAACAGTTTAACAGCCTAAATTTCATTTTCAGAAGCACATGAGTATTCAGATGTGTAATTTATTTCCTGTGACTTCAAGAATGATTTCAGCCAAGGTAACTGATGACTTTCATTACTTTAGTCAAGTGTATTTTTAAGATTAAATACCTTAGCTTAAAACTCCTTCTTTTTGTATTACTTCAGGACAAAATTCAAGCTATGTAAACTACTTTTACCCTTTTTTCTCCCTGTTGGCAATGGGTGAAATGTATGGACCGGCTCAGCTATGGCAAATCATCAGGCATACTGTAACCTGATTAAGTGTCTAAGTTTGTAGCACACTTCTGAGTCTAGATCTCATTGGCTTTTAATGAGATTTTGGTTAATACATGCCCGGACTTCTGAAACTGAGGCATAAGCTTAAAGACCGTTCAGTGCTTGAAGAGTTTTACCCTACATCATTTCGAGAAGAGGATTTAGGCTCATATGTCATTTAGAAGAAATAGTTTCCACCCTGTATATTCCTAAAGCAAGACCTCTATCATGCAACAGTCTCTGAAGAAGCAGATCCTTCTGGGGTTAACAGACCACCATACAAATCAGGTGTGAACCTGCCTGCAAGTAGTTGCTGGACTGTTGCCTAAATATATGAAGGCACATTTATTCACTCACTGTAAGAAAGCAAATGGTGAATTTTGAAGTGCTGATAACCGGACATGTCAGCTAAACAGAAACGGACATTATATTGCAAAATTTAGTACAGTGGAGAAACAGCTAAGAAGAGGGAGATATAAATATTTAAACACTTGGCATTCCCTCAAGAACTTTTTAAAATACAAAAGTATTCTTTCAGGGACTGCACAAACTGCAAAGACAAATAATCAAGGACTTCAATGTGCTGTCAAGGTAGTAAACACATTAATGAAATAGTGTTGTACAAAACTCTTCATTTTTTCCAGGGAACATTTAGTTTTGCAAATGCAAATGGATCTCAATGTTTTAGATTAAATTTGTCGTGTTTATGCCTTGTTTAAAAAAAAATATTACACTCTGGTTAGTCATACCTCTGTCTCTGTACTCTTTCTGGACAAAAACCAAACCTGCATTGGTTCTTTTTTACCCTTCATAGAAACTGGACCCCTGTATTCCAGGTGAAACTGAGGATCTGAATTTCCTGGTGTCATAAGACATCTGAAATTGAAAGAGAAGACATGTAAATGTATGTACTATGCATGCACACCACGCACTATATAAAATACTAAACATGCTGTAGATATGTGAGCAAATTCACAAAAGAGTCAAATCTATCTCTACATCATTATTATATTTGCATAGCAATAATGGTGTATCATAATGCAGTCCGCCATACAGTTTCATGAGAACTCATGTGCTTAAATAATGTGTTGCAGAGTCCTGTCACTTTCAACTCCAAAGACACTTTGATGTTATGCTGACAAAAATGATTTCTTTTAAGATGTCAACACCAATAAAAATACTGCATCACTCACCTGTAAGTATATTCAGAGACGTTGATCTTTCCCTTTTCTCCAGTAGTTTCTGTTCTGCTGGTTAGATTGACAGTATTTCCAAAGAGACAGTAACGTGGCATCCTTTGGCCTATGACACCTGTGACTACCTCACCAGTATGGATTCCTATTGTTATCTTTAGAGAGAAAAAATAAAGTTTGACTATTCAAAATCAATGTAACTAATATGATGCTTCTGATTAAATACAGGTATTATACCATTTTTATCTACTAGAGTTTATTTTTTCAATGTGCCACTCCTGCTGCTTCAAAGCCTTGCATTTTGTGTTTTGTGTCACTTTTTTTTATTGTAGCGCAGTGTCATGGCTCTGCCTCCCACGTGAACGAACAAACTCCATATTTTTCCAGCATGCACCATGCCATGCTGCTATTATATACTGTGAAATTAAAAAAAAAAAAGCGGAGAGGCATACTCTGCAGGTCTGTGTTTAATGAATGCTCAGAAAATACAGAAATGGGTGGTGTAGGTCAAGAAAAAAAGATGTTTCTCAGAGGAAACATCATGGTATTTTGCATTTAAAAGCTCAAGAGATAGGACAGGGGGTTAGAGAAGCTCTTTCTTATAGCACATTACAGTTATTGTAAAGGCCCAAATCACTTCTTTGCCCAGTGACAAAGTGAAGTACACAGATCTAAGCTAGGTGTTAACCAGTAATATTCATGTAAATAGAAATATGCATCACACTCATTACTTATTTTGCTCTCACAGCCCTCTGATGAGGACAGGTCAATGCAGCCTTCCCAGTTCTATACTAATACCACAACACCTTCTTAAAATCCCACAGTGAGTGAACTTCCACTAATATACATTGTTGCCAGTAATCACTGCCATAACTGCCTATGGAACTGTACTTTCCTCTTTAATGCAATTATTTTCTCATGCTGATGCGAGGATCTGAAGCATGATCAAAAATATCACTGAGGGAATATTATTGTTCTGTTCATTGAGATGAGGAAGACTCAACAAATTGTACTTGATGCACAATGCAAATTTGTTGATTAGATTGAAATGATCAGAAAACAGGCATAAATGATGCAGACCTAATTTAGTGCTTTAAAAGGTTAAGCACAATAATTAGATTTTAAGGTATGGGAACTGCACATGTCACATCTACATGTGCCTTCATATTATTTGTAGATATCAGTCTCAAAATCTAACAATAACAAAGCTTGCATGGACTGGGACTTGAGCATTATCCTATTTCAAAGCATTATCATTGTATCAAAGCATGGGCTCTTCACTGAAGCCCACACATTTACTAACCTGTACAGGCTCACCATCTACTTGAACTTGGCCTGCTATTTCCATCATATCCAATGCCAGGTGGCAGATAGATCGTGCGTGATGAATACAAGGCTCTGGTAGACCACTCACTGTCATATACTTGTCCCCAACCGTTTCCACCTATGAAGATACGTATTTTTCAATGACTTGATTATTGTAGGCTTCAGAGTACTAGAACGGACATAGTGTTTCCTTCAAGGCTGCTTGTCCTTTCAAGTAGTTTTTCTTCACTTTCATTCAAATCACCCTAATTCCCATCATCTCTGCTTGTTATTGAAGAGAATTTATTGTATGCCCACAATGTAACAAACTAAAATGACACTGTGATGGTGTGAACTTGAGCCCCTCTTTTGGGGTCTCCCAAATTTCTGTAGAAACTGAGCACTATGTTTGTTTTGACTCACACTCTTGATTCACTTGGTACGGGACATAAAGTTGATTTCCAGTAAAAGCTAGGAATGAATCTTCTACATATGAACACACAAGCATACACATGTATGTATATATGGGATCGATCTCCCTCTCTACCTCTCCACCTGCTACCAGCCACATCTGCAACTACACCTCATTCCTAATAAAGGAATGAAATTCACATTGAATAACTGAATAATAAGTTATAATTTACAACCAGAAGACCCAGGTATATGACTTGAAAAACTTAAAGCACAGGGTCAGCAGAACGACAAACTGCTTGTATAAGTGTTCACATCTGCTAAACATGGAAGTAGATTTATATATCCACCTAATGGATGACTGTGCAGAAATCCTGCTGAGAACTAAGCCCTTCATGTTCCTTAACACATTTAGAGATAAACAACATACTCTTCTTTAGCTATGTAATACCAGGTAACACAGTTCAAAGACTGAGAACATAACTATTTTTTTTAAAAAGCCTAAAATCCAAAGGATGGAAAAGAGTGACATGATAGTAATTATTGAAAAGTCACAGTTTAAATACTTTGAAAATCTTCTGCTTACCTTATAAACAAACGGATTCCTTCGTGAATCAGTCAGAATATCAAATCTTGTGTAAAGATCATTTAAAAGATTAACAATCTTCATGGCTCCCTCTCCAGAGGCATGTTTACTACAGAAGGCATTGAAACCAACAATGCCACTGAAAAGAATGGTCACATTGTCATACCGCTTAGCTGGAACAGGACGCTTGTGTCTCAGCTCATTTGCCACTGATGGTGGTAGAACAGAGTACAGTAATCTAAACACGTAAGAAAAGAAAGGCACAAGCAAAACAGAGAGAATGTGGAGAAAGGTCTTTACATCAGCACTCTTCAAATATTAACTTAGTACCTCCCATAGCGTTTATAACATACTCACATCATCAAAGAGCAATATAGAAAATGTTTACTGAAGAATATGTTATTTGGAAAACAGGAACTGATCTACATCAGCATACCTAAAGCCATGACATTTCAAACACACATTAACAACTAAAGTACCAACAAAATGAGGCATATACTACTAATTCTTCTGACATGATCTGTTAATAGCATCTTAGATAATTTTTGCTTATTGCTTAAGCGTTTCTGCCATATACTCAGTTCATATAATCTGGTCTTGCTCACAGAACCATAAAAACTGAAAAAAAAAGCCATGAAGAGATCAAACAGTTTTCCACCTTTGTTCCATTCATACATTGCTAAATGCTTCCTCTTCTGTTGAGAATGCTGCTTTTAGGGTTTATCGCTTCTTTTTTTTTTTAATTAATAGTCTATATGACATATTAACACTTGTTCATATTACAAATTATGCAAATAAAATCCAAATCACACACACAGAGCTTCACCTTACTCTCATGTGTATTCCTTCAGCTTCCTAACTGCCATCTTAAGGTGTATTTCCCTCACTACACAGCTAAGTGGGCAAGCTGAAGACCTCTGTTTCACAAATCTTGAGCATCATTTTGTACACAGCCTCCTGCACAAACCATCATTAGTTGCATTTTTGGCAAGTTCACTACTGCATGAGTTAGAATTAGTGAATACTTTTGGCACATGATATCGTAACTGACACTGTCTTCCAGTGGCTGACAAGAAAGCTAGAATTCCTGAAGATACAATGACTTTATAAAGCAAGTCAACAGGAATGAATAGAAAAAATATTTTTTAGGCTCCTTTTCTCTCTGACTCTTCTGTCCATCCCTTTCAAGTCTTTTCATAATAATTTCCATTACTCTACTACAGAAAAAAAAAATCTGTGATTAGAATTCATACCACAACAAATGTTAATTCTTCTACTAAACAAGCATAATCCACAAGAAACTCTTCTATTACAGAGATGGGAACTATGTTTTATAAATGAGAGTCAACCATCAATCCCACACTGCTTGTCATACAAACTTTTGTTTAATTTATCTGCCAGTAGTCCTTGAGCTGAGCTGCCATAGACTAATGCTATGAATTTGATTTTATAGTTACCTGTACAAATTGATTTGGGGCTCAATGCATATACTTTATTATTATTATGTACTTATATCTAGATAGTAATATTATCTAGATAGCGCCAAATCAATTTGTACAGGTAACTATAAAATCAAATTCATAGCATTAGCCTATTGCAAAACTTCACCTTTACATAGACTATTTTCGAGGCTTATAAGATATGTTTTTCTGTTCTGTTAACCTGTGAGCATGACAGTCCAGAAAGACAAAGTGGTCTACAGCTGGTTTACAGAACTCTGTCAAATAGTAGCATTTGGGCATTCATCAGATTCATCTTGGCTACAGGGACTGCATGTAAGAAAGTTTGCAAAACTACTGTTTTAGGTAATTCACAAAACAAAAAGGATTGTCAGTTCACTTCTCGTAATTTTCCTTATCAGGGAAGGAGTCATCAAAACACCTTGCATGTAACAGCCTAGACTGCAGATGACATTTGACAATCTAAATAAAGAAAAACCCTATGAGGTGTTGAAATACAATGTTCTTTCTTGACTCCAAAATTATCGGCCCTGAATATCTCTTATATTCCTTCCAAGATTCTGTTATTTTTTGAGGAAAGTAGCTATAAATAATACATTGCTGTGACTGTTTCAGCTCAAAATCAGGATTTGATTCTTACGTGTCTGTCTTTTTCTTTTCATCTTCCAGTGCACGCAGTGTGTGCTGCAGTCTGTCAGTGAGGATCTCAAGCTCTTGAGTCAGTTTATATTCCTCTCTGAACTGCTCTCCCAAAAGAACCAGATCACGAGTAGCATCATGCAATGGAATATCACTCAGATATAAACCTCTTCTGGTTAAATCGTCCAAGTTCATCACACTGCAATGTGGAGAAATATATAATAATATGAGTACAATTAAACTTGCCAAAGGAGCATTTAAAACTCAAATTAACAGCAGGTGCCGCTGAATAACAGAAAAGAAGATTATGATTCTGAACTTGTGATGAGCTGTACAACATATACCTTCTGTGAAATGCCTTGTTTGTGTTCATTCAAATTAACACACGGCTCTTGATTTTTTCATTTAAATACCAGAATTCTCACTGATGAGTTCCATGAACATATCAAAAGTACATATCTCAGTACACAAATAAAAGCAAGATAACGTTAAGGTAGCCTCTTCCCTTTCTGTCTTCATCCACTCTCTCCCTTTTACACAGGAGATTAACATATCCTAACTGTGTAATCTGATGTGTTAGCTCAACACGCTCTTAGCTAAAGAAGCCCTCCATTCAATCCCCCACTCCAATTACTTCTTTGTAATCATCACTGCTGTATTACATTAAAACTACTGCAAAAATATATGAAACCACACAGGAAACCAAATCGTTGCAGCATTTCTTAGCACTCTCAGAGTAAGAAACAAAGGACAAAACCTGCCAAAAATCATGGAATCACAAGGAATTCACATTTGTACAAACTGGGCCAGAGCATCCCAATGTTTATATTGAATTATTTAATAATCAGTCAAGTTCCAAAGTTTAAATGCCCCTCCCACTTTTAGTATAAACATATCAAAATCAATTAAATCAATTGAACCAATTAATCTCTGTAGTACTGCTCTCATAAGTGTGTTTAAAATTAGTAATTGTAAAATGAAAATCAGTATTATAGAACTCTTAAGGTTTAAAGTACCTCGGCGAACAAAGAAAGAGAATACTATCTGCTTCAGGCAAGTAGATCATTTGCCCTTTCAGGCGTAAGCAGCTGATTTCTGTGCCAGTCAGTTCATCTTCACACTCCAGGTTTTCCACATCCAACAGCCCCTCCTAGTGATGGAAAGTCACAATTATATAAAGGCAATGGTACGTATGTTATATACCAGGCCATGTACATAAGTGCCTTCACTACGAAGGCAGTCAGAATGTTTGGAATAGAGTTACAGCCTACATTAAAACCCAATTAATTTCTCATCTGAACACCATACACTACTTGTATTTTAATACTGTGATTTGCTACCTCAAAGATATAAAGCATGGTACCTTTCTTTACATTCATGTTCATAACTTCTTGTTTTCTTCTGCATCATTTCTTAACAATAGGTTGACAAAAGTATTGGCTATTCTATGAAGTTCTATCTGTGCCTGGGAGTACCTCTAAGAAATCTTGTTGGTTTCTCTCAGGTACAATTTTCTATAAATAAACAGGCTCCTTGACACAGTAAGTATTACTCCAGATGCTGCATTCATTCATATCACCCACCTCCTCTCCTGCCCTCTCTAGAAAAAAGGACGTAGAATTGTGTATGAATGTATGGGCCCAAACAAGAACACATTTCATATTTGTCTCCCATATTGTTATGAAGCAAAAGTAAATGTAATTGCCTTTCTACATTTACTATGATACAATGCCATATGATGGGTTGGCCCCTTGCAAAGAAAGCATCAGACATGAAGTACATGTACTTCATCATTCCTATAAAACATTCTACTTAACAGCTACACATGAATTCACACCTGTGAGTTTTTCTTGGCTCAACATTTAAAAGGGACCGAGCATACCACTGTGCAAATAATTTTCTCTGAAGACTTCTGAGCTTTCAGCACTTCTTCTTATCTCTCCAAAGCATACTTACTTAAAGAAGAGCCAGGTGAATATTCTCTAGTTACCTTGGTCCTCAGTACAAAGACTGTATTGATATGTGAGAGGATCCCATGGAAACTAATATCAATATGAGGCCGGACCAAGGAGAAAACTGACAAGAGACTGCAATTTCCTGGCTGCAGCTAGAATGAAAAAAAAAAAAAAAAAAAGATTGTTATGTTTTATAATAAAAATATACATGGATAAATTATATTCAATTTGCTTAGATGACAATACTGAATGGAACAGAATATATACTTTATGCATTTCTCCATTAAAACAAACACAAGGTTTTTAAATTAAGGATTTTACATCAGAAGTATATCAGCTTCAAAGTGCAATTCTAGTCTGCAAGATGACTTTGTAAAATTCTGTTAGACTACCACATTTGTTATCTGTCAAACTGTTCCCAGTCTACAGTAAAAAAAACTTCCCAGTGTTTTCCTCCTAAGTGACCACCTTCAAACTCCCTTTCCAATAAACTATGTTCTCCAAAGCATCAACTCTGATAATAAGGATTCTGATAGCCATCCTCAGTAGGCTGAATAATTAGTTATAGCTGTTCAGTGAATGCCACTAGGAAAAATCTGGCAAGGCTACTTACAAAGTTCTCACTTCAAAACTTTCTGAAAAATTCAGAGAGAAATCACCAAAAACCAAATAACATAAAATTGCATTTTAAAAGTATGTCAATGATTCAGAAACAACACGGTATGTTCAACATTAGCCTACATAATTGTAAAGATCATTTGACGTTTTCATCATCTTACCTTTTGCTCCTCTCATATTACTGCTTTTACCTGTTGCTTATTTTTAGAAACAGTGTCAGCTCTTTCAGGCAAGAACTGAGGTATCCTATTCATATACAGAATACATAACATCAAATGGACCTCTGAGTACTCTTTTACTGTAAATAACCGGAGGAAATTGCAGCAGCTGAATTCAGTTCAGAACACACATATCTATCTATCTATCTCACAAACATAGTTTGGCTCATCTTAGTTAATACTGATGCTTTGATGAACAAGCCAAGAAAGTATACTACAACTTTTGTTATTCTGCTCTTCAGTTATCATGCATCTGACAGCTTAAGTATTTGAAGGCATTACTCTCAAGTAATGTACTATGTACCTGCTGCTACACTATACAGTAGTATAGGCAAGACCATTTCCTGAACCCCAGGCCAAGTTGCACTGGCTGTCTCACATCCACTTTAAAGAGTTATCTGCTACTTTCATAGCAAATCTTGGAGTGAGCTATGAGAAAGAATTGGGTATCAAGCTAACACCTGAATTGTGGAGGTAATTGGGTTTTTTCTGCTCAAGCTTATTCTCCTACTGCACATGGATATGATCATAAGGAACAGAGTTGTTGTAGAATTAGGGCTATCTTTTACAAACAAGAGGAGCACAATGTAGTAAAAATCATACAGTCACACAGGAATACTGTTTAGACAGAGAATCCTAAGAGATTTTACTCATCTTTAAAATAAACTTGTGAAGCATCCAGCATTAGGAATCTCTATGATTATTCATGCATGAGAATCGTCTAACCTGTGGAAGGACTCTGTATATAGCATTGCCACACTGCGTGACCACCAGATCTCTGTCAAATATTATGTGGAAAGGGAAGGCCTTGCAGAAAGTATAAGGACTGATGCGAGACTCTTGGGTACCATTTTCTTCAAATCTGTCAAGGTCTTCATAGTAGTCCTCTTCTTTAGACTCCTTCTCTTCAATTAAAAACTGAATGTGGTCACATTCCTCATTTCTCTGTTGAATAACCTAGAAAAATGAAGGAAAAAATGAAAAACTGAAAACTGCTACTCATTAATAACTGGAATGCTACTATGAAGACAGGAATACATTTAGAACAGAAAGATGAATTCAAGAATGATACTTGCATCTTGAAAAATATTATATTCTAATAATTATTTCTGATTTTAGAGGGTATAACTCCATGCAAATAATTATGCCTTTGCTTAGCCACAGTTGCTCTTTGCATGAACAACATATTGAAGATCGCTCAAATACAATTTATAAAGCCTCAGTGAAATGCACATCCTGAAATCAGGGGTCAAGGCTCAGGTTATGCTTGCTTTTACCGGTATAAGCCAGAAAAGAGGACTCCCCTCTCCCCTTGAATGAACATGTGGCAAGTCTTGAATTACACAGAATATTTGAATCCTTACTTTGATGTAAGTTGCTTGCAAGGTAAGTAAGACAATAGCAAACAGTGCTGACCAGAGTATGGGCATCTCACAGTCAGCCAGAAAAAAGGTGGATGGAGCAGATGTTTGAATATACAGTCCTCACACATTCAAGCAGTGATGACTGCAAGATCAGGACCAACAGATAAAACTAAAAGCAATGACAATCTTCTCCAAGCTGCATTCCACATTAAATGAAATCACAGCAACACCAGTCTCATCTACATCAGTTGAATCTCAAATAAGTGTCTTGAATATAGCATTTCACACTTCAGTAATTTTACTCAAAGTTAGTAGAAATATGAAATTAATAGGGATTATTTGGCTTGCAGAGTCATGTATTGCAGTATAATTAAAGCTAATAACTAACAGAATAACATCATTTACCTTCAGAGGCCAAATTCACCTCTTCTCAAGCCTAATTAGATTTAATGACTAGAACAGAACAACTCTATTTACACAGTATTGTTTAGCAGCAACTTTCTGGAACATGTTGCACCTGATTCTACTTTCATGTAGAGGCTGATCTTAAAGCCACTGAAGCAAAAAAAGACTTCTTAAAATCTCTAATGCATCCTCATTCTGCTCTTTACACATAGTCTAACCACAGAGATTAACAGTTACAATATGAAAACAGAATGGATATGCACAAACATTGCACTTGATCCCCAAAATGTTAGTTTATTAAATATTTCTCCTCCACAGCTGTCAGCCATGCTAGCTGATTGGTTGGGGAGTGCTGACTCCTTTACTTGTTCCTATACAAATGGAGGAGCGTAAAACCACAAAACAATTGTTTTATTGCTAAATGATGCTTAATTTAAGAAAGTAGTGTTCCTTGATCTCCTATTTGACTATTCATTTAAAGGAAAGAGAGGCTTTTCTGGAGGACAGTTCAGAGCAGGAGCCTGATTTAGCACACTATACCATGTGCTGCATTAGTCCTCTCTTTCTATTGCATTCATAAGTAACTTCCTTAGAGAAAGATTAGCCTACTAAATTTACCAGCTAATGTAGATACCTAAAGCTGGATGTATGAACAAGTTCACATGTTAATGATGATAAAACCCAATTTCCTCGAGAAACTGTGTTGGTAATCCATATGGCAGTGTCTGGCAGAGAAGTGCGAAATTATGAGTTAATAGATAATCCTTGGGAAGAATATGTGGTGGTCATTTGAGCAAAACATGTACGTTTGTCTAGGAAAATGGAACATAGTAGATGGAGACCCAGTTTTCCTCTGAATTCAAGGTTTAAAGGTTCTCCATTTCTTCCCCTTCTTTTAAATCATTAACCCTGAAATTGTGACTGTGACCATACCGAGGATTGACAGAACACAGTTACAGTCTTAGTTCTTACTTTCTATCTCTCACACTCACTCCAACAGGTTTTATTTTATTACTACTATTATTGTGTCCAGGGATAGCTGAGATTATACACAGTAAACTTTTTCAAATTGTGTAGAATTATCACTAGAATTGATCTGTGCTTCCAGATCATTTTCAGTATTGGATCTTACTTCAAAGAGTTGCTCTTGCCACAACTGGAAAAAAATTGCATACCTTGGATGAAAAGCTTCTTCATTCAGCAAAGCAGTCCTAAAATTAATTTTTAAAGATCTAATAATTTTTAAGGAAATGTTCATATTAACAGCACATTACCTTCCAGAGATATTATCACCTAATGACCATCTTAGTCACTACATACCAGTATTCTGTTACCAATCTGCACCTATACTTACAGGTTTTTTCCTGCTACCATGCAGCACCTAACAGATTTTTCATAACTTCCCATTTTTTTCCATTTATTAGAAATGAATGATGCATCAATAAACAAAATTCAAGTGTTGGTTAAAAAACCTCCCACCTATGAAAACAGCTACGTTCAAGACATCTAGCTAAGTTTGAGAAAAAACCCTCCACAGATCCTACAAGCTTACACAGTGATGAAGTCAGTCATCACATATGATGTGCTATTTTCCTAACTTTTATAGATTAGAACTGTGTCAGTAACAGTACAAAGCTACAAATTTCCCAGGTATCTTCAAATTCATTTGCAACACTATTTTCCATCAGACTCCAGGGCATCTAGAAATGCTTGCTGTACTAGTGCATCACATTAGTGCAGCAAATGAACAACAAGCCAAGCACACGGAAATGTGTAAGATCTACAAGATAGCCACAGCACCAGTTGCACACTCGTGGTAAACTTGATATGGTATGAACATGGCTGGTTTACTGCATTTGATTCTCATCATCCATGCACAGACCCTTATTAACAGAAGCTACAATCATACCCCTCTCCAGGCTAGGAAAGCTACTGATTCATCCTTTAATAACTTCCTATTAGATATGTAATTTCATGATGTCTTTTCTGCTCACATCATTTATGCACTATCTGATCTTCCTATTTCATGATTTCATCCACTTTGTCAGCAAATTTAAAACAAGGACTTCTAGCTGTTAACATAATATGTTAAATTCTGTCCCTTCACCCTTGTACCTACAGATCTAACCTAAATGGCCAGATGCTTATCTGGCATAAAGACTACCCTAGATACTCTGCAGTAAGCTTAAGTAGACTAGAACTTATCTATTGTTTCATTCCGGAAGCGAACTTTGCAAGCCACAGAATTTCAGTATAATTTAAATATTGTTGAAGAAGCCTCTGTTAAATCCTTGACAAATGAAAGTTCATTGACAAAAGCAACAAAGCCAGGAATCAAGTCTAATTCTACCTCACTCTGCTGTCTTAGCTGGTGAAGTGACATCAGTTCACCATGTCTAAGCTCAATCACCAGAGTAACTGCAGTTAAAAACTGAAGGGAAAAATCACTCTCTTGGTTTCAAAGAGAATATATAACATCTAACTGCGAACCTGCCTGTGCTTTCCAGAAGATGTATCTTCAGAGTTTGTCTTTGCTTAGCCAAGTGAAAAGTTACACTAATAATTCAGGGAAGGATGATTCAGAGAACAGTTATTTTAAAATAACTTTGTGGTTTAATATATTTGGTGAGCTTCACACAAGATATTAAATCAAGCAGTATCACTGTGATGCAGCATGTATAATGAACACATGCTATCTTAAAACTTTCACTGATGTATCTATAAGACAAGTCTCAATTCTACAGATATGAGCATGTCCCCAAGATACACTCCTATCTCAGCATGGGAGAGGGACAGAACGTCCTTGGACAGGGATCTTTTTCCATCAGATTGTGAAGATTAATACAAAGTCAGCTTTTTGGCATTTAAAGGTCAATACAGGATAAAATTCTTGATCTCTTCTGATCAAAACTGACTACGCAGTGCTAGTTGACAAATTTCATTGCAGATGTTTCAGGGTGATCCTGAGGCAAAGCAGTTCACTGTGGAAACGGTACCACTCTTACCTTCGCACACCCAAAGTTAAAACTGCAGGGATGTCTCCACCTGGAAACTAGTCTCAAGGCACGGACTCACTGCACTGAACCTCCGAACCTGGAGCTAGTGAAGTTTCCTGCTGCCCTTGTGTGAGAATTAGAGGCTGATTACGCTTCACAATTGACTTATCTTCATACACAGACAGCATTTTAATGTATGGATCAGTACTGCTTGTCCACCATAACAAGTACCTAAGCAGTTTTTAGGTCAGCTCGCCAGCTGGTCACATTCTGGCTTTGTTTTTTTATATTGCCATTAGTAATGAGACAGTCTGAAATTACCAGCTTGTCAAGAATCTCCCCTGGTCTTTTCTCATTTGATATTGTAAACCATCTTCCCTAAAAGAAAGATTTTGATAGTCTGCTCTCAGATAACAACAGAACTGCAGAAGGCTGTCTTCCCAACAGATTTTTGGGCTTTGTAGGATTGTACAACATTCTTCATTGACCCATACCATTTGTAGCCTTGAGGCAATCTCTGTCCTGACTTTACCTCCACAGGTCACCCTCACTTACACACAAATAACCTCTGACAAATGAAGCAAGAGAAGGCACAGCCAGAAGGCTGCTAACAGAGATCTCATGCTACAGCGGGTCACTAGCACCATGAAGATTTTTAGTTCTCATACTGAGACTGGCAGAACTTAAATATTCTTGGCATGTTCGCAAAGTCAGCAACAATTCTTGAGACAATACCTGCTGCAAAAGTTATATAGTCTTATATGTAAGACAAATTCAAGCAAAATTTCATGAAAATACAGACTTAGAAGCATGCATTCTCTCAAACAGATTGATGTAAGCATTTGTTCTAAACAGCCAGAGAAGAAAAGTGGATAATAGACATCAAATTGCAGGTATCAACTTTACACTAATATAAAGAGAACTGCAGAACTTACTAAACCACTCCTGTGTTGGATTGTTATGTAAATGCTTTGCATAAAGAGATCTGGAAGGACAACTAGGGAATCTCAGCTCTATTCTTGCAAGTCAGACGGCAACTCCCATAATAACATCAGAAACTTAGGGCTAGGCACTGAGGCTCTTATCAGCTCAAAAAAAAATTCTTCCTTAAGCAAAATTCTAACTAAAGTCCAAACCAAAAATTTTACGGAAGAGGAACTGACTGAGAGGATGAAAAGCAACTCTACTGTTTTCTGTGCTGTGTTATTTCAAACAATGCATTCCTAACAGTCTGAATCACCAAAGCATTAATTTAGTAAATTATGAGGCAAGCGATCGAGATGAAAGAAGTCGGTCAATTTTTTTTCTCCTGTTCTCATTTATTTTGAACAGTGTAAAACTAGCCAAGTATCACAATGGCAGACTTACTCTGCTTTAAAATCCTCACTGTGTACCATTAATGATTAATAGTTGACCTGTGGAATAATAGAGGAAGACTTTCATTGTCTGTGTGGATAAGCTCCAAATTTTGGCACTGTCACCTTATAGAAACAAGTAGCTGATTATTCTCTGCTTATCTACCACTGAAGTTTGTGAGTACCTGTGGAGTAAACCACTATTTAATGTCATTGAATGTGTCAAAAGCTAGGCTTTATTAGCCAGCAGAGACAAGAAAAAGTTCAGGGTTGAGGGTACATGACTTTCTAATAGGGACAAGGGAAAAAACAGATAACAGACAAAATAAAATACAGATAATATGTACTTTCTTCAGTTTAGCGGTAATACTAATTTTTATGCACTTACGTGCTTTTGGCTCAGATGGTCTGGAAGAACAGTTTGGATTTAAATTAAACTTTGTGCTCACTTACAATAGGTTTGACCAACACTATTAAATTTATATTTAATTACAATATTAACTAATTTAATTACAATAAAATTCTCAGAAAAGCCTCACAAAGTCAAAGGAAAATGAGAAGTAAATTTAGAATCAATATTTAAACCTCTTTGGAACATACATTGTTTGTGAGAAGTCCTAGATGGACATCAGTACTGTCCAATACAATCTTCTCAACAGAGTAACATTCAGATTGAGGACACAGTTTGTCAAAAGTTTGTTCCGGTAGCTGCTTTGCACAACCCAGATTTCTCCTCTGCCCCACTGATCACTTTTGTCTCTGCATGATCCCTCAACTACACTGGCAGAACTCTGATAGACAGAACACCAAACCACATAAAAGAACAGATGTAGGTAAAAATAACCCAGGCAAAAGAACTGTTATTTTGAACCCAGTTCATTTCCTCAGTCTAGTTTATTTTATAGTTTCACAACAGCTGCAGAGACGTAGCTGAAGAAGCTGTCATAGGACAAGCCTGAGCAGTAAGAGAAGGGGGACTGCATAAGCTGCCTGTGCTACCAAAAGAAAGGCTTGTCAAGCAACAGCTTCAGCACTCTTGCAGCCAACTTTCCAACATGGTCCTCCTTGTCCGTCTCAACACTTTGAATAAACAGGGACGTAGGAAGAGGATTGTTTTGATTCTGTTGCATCCTTCTGTATCTGATTACTAACACCTGCTGTAAAAGTTTGAACTATGGATTTCTACAAAGTAGAATCTAAATAAGGACATCAAGTATATCACCACCACTATACAGAACTAGCCATTCACTATAAACTGGAGCTAGCTATAACAAGAAAACTAAAAGGCAAATATTCTGATAGAGCAGTACAAACACCTTTGTCATTGGGTTCCTTGTAAATCTGTTATCTGAGCAAGATCGTTTTTTTGTGATACACTCATGAAACGGGAATGGATTTTCTAGGCAAGTATACAATGAAACTGCTAGAAATGTATTATGACTAGGGAATAGTTACAAAAAAATAAAGAATGCTTGTTGCACCTGCTTAGATTCTTTTTTACTTGATGAAAAGTATTTTATATCAGTTGCAATATTTCTAACACCAAAAAGCTTTTATTTGCTCTTTTTCCCCAGATATATCTGCACCTTGGATCAAGCTCTGATTTTATACCATTACATATGCAATGCCTGATCAATTAAATCTTTCTGTTGCCTTGCATGGACACAAAGCAGAAGCCTCTTTCCCATTTCACAAGTGACTTAGCACACATGACACTACATAAACTCTGTGACTGAGGAACATTTTTCCACTTCTGCGGCTGTAGGTGTATATCCAGCCACACTCCCACAGAGTGGTAGTCTGAGACCCCACAAACACAGCTTGGTTCTGGGATGGAAATGGCATGCAGGTTGGGAGGAAAATACTCTCCTCGCCAGCCAGGCGTCACCAATGCACATCAGCCTCACAGTTTGCACATAGATGAATAATCTAGGCCACAGAGATAAAATGTCTGTGTTCTCCCAGAACACAGCAGATAGTAAGAAGTATATGCCAAATATAAAATAAAGTGGAAAAAAGTACCCCAAATAACCCAGTTCCTAATTTCTGTACATGTCATCTCCTTCTTTGAATAAGGGGATATTGTTCTCAACTGTTCTCAACTGGGTCTGTTTGCAAATTAGTCCTGGCCTTCTCAGTACATGGCTGACCTGTCCTTAAAGCAACACAAATTATGATGGCTCTTCCTGAGTCAGTACTGATGCCACTGCTTCACAGAGGACAGCAACAATTAAAATGATTGTTTGCCATCACTTCACTTTTGATTTTCCTGATTTTGTCCTCATGACATAAACTTCCGATGTGTACATTGCTTCAGACATTACCTTCATGTCTATTTCTGTACCGTGGATCTGTTGAGCAACTGTTTTGATGATCCCAATGACAATATCCTGGAGACCTTCTCTTTCTGAATAGTAATGCAGAATAAGTCCCTTCCCCTTCTCTGCATCAGTGCATCTAAAAGAAGGGGCTCGCATACCCGGGTAAATAGTAGCAAGGTGGTCATGCAAAGCATCCAGGTTCTGCAAGAAGAAATTAAAAACATGATTATAAGGCATTCACTTATTAGTTCCAAAGAAAGTAAGTACACATTCTGTCTAATCTGAACATCCCCTTTCTCCTAGTGCTCACGCTCCCTGTACATTTGACTTATTATTTGTTGAACTGTCATCATAGCAGGCTTTTCAGGTAGCTTGTGAGGTTCTTTCCATCTCCTGTGGCAATACTTGGACAATGAATGGCATCAAAATTAGCACTATTAAAAATTATTCCAGATAGTAAGAATTCATGCTTGACTATGCTGTATTTCGAAACACTCCAATTATTAAAGACCTTGTGTGCGTTTCTCAAGCCTGTACCTCACCCATTTTCATCTTTTCCAAATTCTAGTCCCTTTATCTCCTCTTCAGATGTCAATTTAAGTGTCAGATACAAACAAGTGTGTCTGAATAAACATGAATCTTTTTCCTTATTCTCAATGAAACAGGCTAGTTCTGACATCGTAACAGTCAACCCAAGTTTACAGGGCCTGACAAAGTCTCAAATTTTAAAGTAAGGATTTAATTGATTAAAAGACCAACCTCAAATACATAATTTCTTTGAAAATAATTGAAAAAATCTACAGAATACATAGAACATATCACAGCTGCTGTAATAATGTTTCAGAACAGGTTATTCAAGAAAGGGAAGAGGTCTTCTCTTTTTTCATCTGATGTCCTGGACATCTTATGTATTTAACTTTAAATTTTAATCAGACACATTGCTCTCTGGCGAGAAAAGCTAAATGATAAATTGATAGGTATATCTAATAAGAACATTAAAGGGAGCAATGAGATCAAAGTCACACTTAGAATAGAACCCTAGCTCCAACTTTGATTATGAAGCAATTATCAAGGTTCCAGTTTGCTATTTACTGTATATTTAACACAGAAAGAGCAACCTAGAGCAACCTTGCTGGATAGTGCTGCAACCCACATAATTATTTACCTATGTTGTAAAATTCATACAATTCCTTTACATCTTAAGTCCAGAACATTACTGCATGTTTTAAACGTTGTTCTCCCTCCCCCTTCAGATAACTGCTAGCACCAGGCTTTGCATATTGTTTTCTGTCAGCACAAGAAGTGAGGTGAAAATATTTTCAATGTGCTGTCTGGGCCATTCTCCACCTTTCATGAGCATCTATCGATCATCAAATTTGTGGAAACATACTGAACTTGATTTCATGTGAGCTGTGAAGTGCTTGAACAGCTGCCTCTTCTCCTGGGAGGTCTCCAGAGGAAATGAGACTCTTAGAAATGAATTCCATAGATGCACTCAGCCCGGAACTGCCTTCTTCATTTTTTTAGTTTGTTTTAAAGTCATGTTTTTGTTGCTATATCAACACCTCCAAATTAAAACTTGAAGAGGCAACAATCTGGGAGTCAATTCATTCCAGCTGTTAGTGGGCATTCAATTACAAAAAGTATAATGCTTGAAGGCAAATTCTGTAAGATCTTTCAAGGTTCAAGACAATGAAATTTGAAGAGACTTCTTTGAAAAGAGTGTGGATGAGAAAAGAGCAAGACAGCTGACTGGCTCCGATGGAGTGACCCACAATCTCCTTAATCGGGTGCAGAACTGCTCTTTCAGTACACATGCCTCAGAAACAGCTGGGATATATTGACCTTTGGGAAAAAAACTCTTAAGGAGACACATGGGAAAAGATTATAATCTTCCAGTTACACAGTCATCAACACCTGAAGAATTTCAAAAGGAGTTTGTTATGGGAAACAGCCAATGTCAAGGACAGAATTTTTATAAGATGGTTGTCTAATTATTAACATTTAAGTTCAGCACAAGTGTTGCTAACAAATGGCAGTAGCCTCATTCTACAAGACCACTTTTCCACTCTACTACTCCATTACTGACTTTGTCTAAGCAGTGTCACAAGCGAGCCCATGTGATACACCCTTCAGCCTTTACTTTCTAATCATCCAGAGTGGGGACTTGCCCAGGATGTATTGCAGCTGCTTTCCAGTCCCCAATGTGTCTTTTCCTCCTATGCATACTGACTGGGGTAAGCAAAAGGCTTATTGTATTCAGAACCTTGCTGCAACACACAGTCAAGAAGCAGGAGAGATGTGCTTCCAAATCAAGACGCTGAAATCACTCCCACATCCTGTGATTTAGACATTGTCATTGTCACACCTACTCCTATTTTTTGTTGTCTTTGATCCATTCTGAATTGATATTGCAGCTTCTGGAAGAACAAATGAGTCTTTTTTTCTAGTTTGTTCACCTTCTGTGGGCCAGAGGTGCAGTCAGGTACAGATAATAATCGGTTAAGCTCTCTCCCTGAATTGTTGTCTCCTAGACTGCTCAGATGTATGCCACAGCTTGTGCTGGGACCAGAGACTCTAATTTTGTCTAAAAGCAAAAGAGTTGTGATTGGCATCTGAAATACAAAGATATGCTGTTCAGCTGCATGTGGTACAGCGCATCTGGAAACTTTTCTAAAAGAGGAATTAGTCCCCTGAAATTTATTGCGCTGCAATTATGAACAACTAAATAACCATGTAAATGATTTCCTAAATGAGAGAACTAACCACTACTCCAGTATTTGATTTTCATTCAGTAGAAAGCTACTGAACATAACATAAAAGCACACTTTGGGTTTCTTAGGAGGTACTCTTTTCACACTGCTTTTCTTTGGCACAGTGTCTTTCAATATGATTTGCAATTTCTCCAGGCCTGTGTTTTTCATAGAAAGTATAAATATTAGATTTAGTTGCACTATCTTTTTCCTCTTTCAGGAAGCTTGAAGTACCTGTGTTTCATCTACAAATAAACTAAATTTTCTCTGAGATGTCAAGGGAAACAGAACATAAATATAAGATTTATTTTCACATGCTGTAAAAAGCTGCAGCCCTCAATTATTTTGTATATCCTGGACTCCATACAGATTTCAAGAACCACCTTTTGGAACTCTATTATGTATTTTAAGAATTTGACAAAAGTTCAGCACATTAAAACCAATCTGCATCTTTTTTGTAATAGGTATATAAACTAGTTTCCTGACCTAATCTGACTGCTGGAAGATGCAAAAATAATAAATCACAGATAACGTTGATTCCATCATAATAAAAAGCTAAAAAGTACACTTCTGGCACAGCTACATTTGTCCTGTTAATATTTACAGAAGTATATAATAGCCAATGTCACCTGTTAACACTGAAATTTAAACAAAGCAGCTTAAAATACTGTCATTAGAAAAATATAAATGTAAGCTGTTCACGCTTTTATAGAGGTTTGGCATGCAATACAAATGTGTGCAGTCTTTTCATTATCACACTGGGTAAGGAATGGAAAGAGAAGTATACTATATGGAAAAGGGGATGAGGGAAAGGAATAGGGAAGGACTAGTCCATCCATGTGTACCCAAAGTGATGGAGCAATGGGCCAGCTACACCTTTTTTTTTCCTCCTCCCCTATTCTTGCTCAACTCTAACCACAACTTCAGTATATGAGTCACATTTAAAAATTGCATTTATTTGAAGGCTTGCTTTGAGGGCTGCCTGTGAATGAAGCTACGAAATATAAAGGATGTCATGTCCCATAGACAGACAACAGTATACAGATCACACATGGTATGCACATGTTGGAGCATACACATACCCTGTCTGTCTGTCCAGCAATTACAGTCTATGGGATTTGTACAAGAAATCTGGGTTGACTCTATCTAGGATGCTCTGGAACAATCCAGGTTTTGGGGCACGCAGTGAGACACAGAAGTAAATATTCTAGTAATCCAGCAAACCATGCACTCTACTCTTTTCAGTTATTATTGGTGGAGAGATTTTAAGGGAACAGATGACAAGAGGCTGCTAAATTTCCAGTGAAAATCAGCAGAGATTTGACACAGCTTTTGGGAAATCTCCTGTGAAATCTTAATCGTTTCAGTGTTTTTAAACTCATTACAGCACACAGTTCTCTCCAAAAGTGATATATATCACAAATCTTAAATACAAAGTGTTTCCTTGAAGTGAACAATTTTCAGGTAACAAAAAAGGGAAACTCATTTTTTCTACAGGTAGAAATCACACTTTAGAGAAGTCACCACATTTCTTCCATGCTACTGAAAAATTGTTTTCATTTTGTTTTGTTTTACAGTGCAGTATCACGCTGTTCTGCAGTTAGGAAAGCACAAAAAGTGACTTAAACACTGCTCTTCTGTCCCACCATCATGGATGAAGTATAATGTCTTAGAGATAAGCTGTGTATGAGCCCTAGCTCTGTACATAATGTATCTATAATTAGTCAAAGAGAACTTAGAAATAATATCCTACAAATCTGAACACCACATTTTCTGTTGTGTGGTGGTAGAAGACAAGGTAAGTCTTCTTACTTAACACACACAGACAATTTGAATTGGTGGGGTTTTTCCTGTCTCTTGTACTCCATACTTTTGTTACATAAGAAAACTTCTGTTCAAAACTTTTCTTTGGAATTTCAAGTGAAGATTCAGATTTATGAATGCCTCTGCAACCCCAGCTTACCTGCCTTCTCACTCCTTTTTTATGAAACTGAACAGTCAAAGATGCCATGGGAAAATTATTACTCTATCAGGTAACTCAGTAATATATTAACTAAAAAAAAACAATGCCAAAACTGCTGAGTGATCAAAAGCTCTATAGAATAAAAGTACCAAGGAAGAAAGTTTTCAGACGCCTCTTTACAAATAACTGGAAGATTATACAGTACCACCTATATCTCCAAATCTCAATCTAATCTGTTGATTAGACCATACTTCTGTCTGGTATCTGAAATAAGTTGGCACAAAATCCTTACCTGCAAAAACTCTCTGACGTTTGAGCCCAAGACACGTAGAATTGTATCATAACCAGATTCTTGACAAAACACAAAAAACATCTTTCCAAACATTTGAAGAATTTCCCCAGCATTTAGATCTAGTTAAAACAGGAAAATATGATTCAGTCCAAACAATGCATTTCATGCACTTTGCTTACTACTTTATTCTCATATTCATAAATAAGAAAGACAGTACCTAAACTCTACCCAGATCCAGTAGGTCAAGAATATGAGAAAAATAAGATTCAAGGTCAACATGGCAAATAATGAGTATTCGATACAGGAATTTTGTTACGATTTACAAATTACCATTATGACTTTGCCACATTGTGAATTTCATACATGTATATATAGCATTTTAGCTTTTGATACAGATAAGACAACACTACTTGAAAATGAAGGAACTCAGTTGCTAGTAGTGCTTGCCTTAGGGGTGTTACTTCTGGTTTACAATAGCATGAAACCACATGAGCTGCTCCAATTCAACATAACTACTACAGTCATCATAGTCTTATGAGTTCTTGGCTAATTACTGATTCAGAACAAATTCATACTGCACTTGGGTCTTCAGATAAAATAATGCTGATGGGCATAATTCTACCTTTCAAATTCCAGACCAGAGCTGCAATGTTTGAAAATGAATGCGACCCAAATCAACGGCAGATATGAAATGAGATGTGCCAATGCCCCAGACATTTCTGTAACTCAGCATGCTTCTTCAGCAGAGAGATCAAGGATTCATTCACGCACTGCTCTTGCAGCAGTGGTTGAAACCTGGGTGTATTGGCAAGGTAGTTACAGAGGTATATTGTTACTTCATGACTGCTTGTAACACTGACCATGCTCTGTGGATGACGTATATTACTGCAGTTTAAGGCGTACCTGTGACTTGGAATACTTTGGAATTAATAAAAATCACTTCAAAGAATAAAAGGAATAACAATATCTTCGATAAATAAAAAAAAATAAAATCCTTTCTTCTGAGATTTTAAAAAAATTCTCTCTTTGACCAATAACCTGTTTTCACTTCCTCTGTGCTAAATCATGTTTCTCTCTGCTACACAGATTTTTGTGGAGGAGTTTATCTTTTATGTGATGAATGGGCAAGGAAGATATGCATATTACTTACTAAGGACCTTGCTTGCAGCTGCAACCAGATCATAGGTTTTGGAATCATCGTAAATTATTCTGACAAGAAACTGTCCTTCTTCATCCAGCTGTGCCTCCTTTCTAAAAAGAAAATAGAACAGAATCTTTTTTGTTGAGGAAGAAGCACCATATTGATAAATTAATTATATATTATTTGGTATTAGTTTTTTAAATAAAGTAAGTTCGTAGGTTCTACTTTCAAGAATAGATAGAATACTTAATACTTTCTACTTAAGATAGAAAAGTAGAAATAAATCTGTTCCATATGTCAGAGGCGTTAAGGTATAATACAAGTATTTCGGACCATGTGTGTTCTGAAAATAATAATTAGCTGTGAGAAAATAAACATGATTTTTCAGTACAGAGCCTCACAAAGAAGTTGCTGAACTAATAAAGACAGAATTTGCATTTTAAAATAGGGGAATATCCAATAATCCATCCCAAGATGGGCTCTTTAAACACTTTTTAAGCAAGTGTTTTCATTCCTTCCAATTTTAGTTATACTTTATTTACAAAAGGCATGCAATATTTTTAACAACCATTTGCACATATCTTCAAAGAGGAATCTAAAATCCACATATAGGTACCTAATCAAATACCTTTTTTTCAGAATTCTGCACATGCCTAGTAGATAGGAAAAAAAAAGGATGCTAGGATTTTGTGCAGCCTTGTTCTCGCATTGCACGTCAGTTCTTCATGAGTAAAGTGTCACCACTTAGCTAAAGCACAATAAAAATATACATTTCTTCACTAAAGGAAAGAATTCTCAGCCCTAGGTTTAAGACAAGACTCATGCATATGTCACATGCACACTTACTACTGCTGCTAAATGAAAAAAACAAAACAACTCCTTTGTTTTTCAGGAGTATTTATTACTCTCCAGCTTGAACATTCAGTCAGTAGCTTGTCCAAAAGGCAGCACAACTCTGTAGGCTATTTTTTTTTCCTGAGGTAAACAAGTTGATATCTATAACCCTAGGCAATGAACTGTTGTGCCTTCCAAGCCTTGCATTTGACACGAGTTACTATGGAGGGCCCACAAGTGTCTTCCTTCTTGTTTTACCCCATGCACTTAACACAGGAGCCAGGCCACTCGTCCTGCAGTGGTGGCTGAGCCCCAGCTCTCAGGAGGAGGACAAGGAGCACCTTCATGGGCAGGTAGAACCCCAAGACCCTGAAGGGCCAGCTGCCCTGTGTGGCTCGTCCTGCCACGCGTAGAGCATGTGTAGATGTGGCACTTAGGCACATGGTTTAGTGGTGGGCTTGGCAGTGTTGGGTTAATGGTTGGACTTGATGATCTTATAGGTCTTTTCCAACCTGAATGATTCTATCTATGATTCTATGCCAATGGACACGCCTGTGACTCTGCCCTGTTGCAAGTGCAAGTCACACTCTGTATTTGCTCCTTGTTGCCCGGCACATTCTCCTTCAGCAGAGAGAGGGGGATGTGCAGGGGGCACACTGTGGTCTCTGATGAAGCCATGCTCTGTCTGTTGAAGTCCTCATCTGGCAAAGGAGTATAGCCTCCTTTCCCAGTATATTTTTTATAATAGCTGTTCACCTTCTGGGTCTTGCCTACAATCACTTTCTATAGAGACAATGTGCTTTGCAGATATGGTGACAAAAGAGGAGGCATTTGTAGGTACTCATGCTCTAATTTATGTGCTTAGAATATATTTTGGCTCAGCAAAACTAATATGATCATGGCATCAATACTACCTTTGCAGGTGGAGGGTCATAGCTACCTCATTAAAAAGAAAAGATACCCTTTCATCTAAATGCAGCTCTATGCTGCAGAACACTTCAGAAAGACAAAAGGCAGGCAAAGAGGTAGGAAAGGATAGAAGAGAATGACTGCATCACACCTTCTTGTACCACATCAAAAAAAAGAAAAATTAGCACAGGGAAGTTGTTCTTCAGAAATACCCTTAGAATTAGAAAAAATACTAAAAAGGCAGATGATGAGGTAGTTTTTTATGAAACATTATACACGTCATGCAAATCAGGACATTAATCAACTCAGGACTGGAATAATTATTTTTCTAATATAGAAATGAAAGAGAACCATGAGTAAAAAATTATTTACTGGTATAATGGTAATGAAGGGCTTTTACCAGAGTAGGACAGAAATGCTCCTTGAGATAAGGCTCAAACATACAGTTTAAGAGTCAATATTTCTAACTGCTCTAAATTTCTAAATGTTGTCAGAGGAATTATAAACCTATAAAATGTAGATTCTAAAGCTACTATGTAAAATCCTACATCCTCTTTTACATCAAAATCTTTGTCTCCATCATCATAATATGATCAACCATTAATCAAAAAAAAGTCTTTGAAAGTTAGATTCTAATTTTCTAAAGTGGGCATAATTTATTTTAAAAATGAAATAATACAACATAATAATGCCTGCACAACAATTCAAGCATTTACAGTTGTAGTGGAATTACCCAGCCATACAAACAGAAACATTTTCTGTGTTACTCAAAGGGGAGAGAGGTCTGAGAATTAAGTACTCTTGTTCATCTTAAAACTGGTAGATGGCAAATGGTACTGCATATAAGCCCCAATTCCAATCTCACATGGTAGTATTCTATTGACCTAAATGAAATTACTTGTCATTTAACCCTCCAATTAGTAATCATCAGTCTTTGATAATCTGTTCACTTATCAATGGAAGAAAAGAATATTTTCTTCTTCCTCTTCATCTTCCTTTAATTTTGCTCATCACATTCTTACTGCTGACTAAAAATTATACTACATTGTTTTTATGTTTCAAAAATATATCTATTTTTTTAATTAATTAATGAAGTCTTGTAACTGCTACTTGAAATATATATATTTTGTACTCACTCTGTGAATGGGCATAATGAGCTCAAGACAAGCTAAGGAATTTTCCTAATGTAATATGACATGGTTATAGGGCAGGTGAAACTAAACATCGTACATAATTCTACATAAAAAGAACATCATTCTCTATTCAATGGCATGAAAAACATTAATAAGTTTAATGGGGGTGTTTATTTTCATACTCCAAAATAGTACTTCTGGTCCTCTTCCCCAGCCTTCAGATCAGCCTGCAGGATATCAAGTCTCACTGATTCCTGAAAAGAGCTCCCATGCCACATATTCCTTCTTTTCCTAAGTAGGAGAAGAGCTGGAGCTGTTAGTGGGGAACGTTGTCCTGAGGCATGAGAGGTGAGTCACGGACAAGAAGGCAGAGTTTACATTCCCTAAGAACTGAACTGAAATTAATATGAGAAATGAAAACCATCTTGATTCTTTGATTCTCATAACATGACATGTAACTGGAAGCCAGATACAGTTTGGAGGGAAGTTCGCAGAGGGTGAACAAACTTTCCCACATCTCTGAAACACACTGTGCTCTCTTTTAGTCTCTCTGATCTCAGCCAGACCACAAAGGATAACACACACATCTGGAAAAGCAATGAAAATCCTCAAAAATACTGTATACTTGCACAATTCAGTAGACAGTTTTTGTGTGTGAGAATTTTCTCTATTAAAAATTGACCCAGTTTGATGATGCTGGTATCCCTTTCAAAACTTCTTATATTTCTTTCCAGTTATGTTGACTGGAACTTTTCCTGTTTCCTTCTCTGCACCAAGCCATGCCTCCTTTTTTCTTATTTTATTTGTCTTTAGTTTACTTTGCCAAAGTTTTTCTTCAATTACTTCAGTTTCTTCATTTCAATGCCTATTCCATTTACATTATTTTAGCCATTTTGTTTTTCTCCGGTTTTCTCTTGCTCCGTCGGATCACTCAGCAGCCATCTTCCCTGTAGCTTTAATGATGTATTTCCCATTAAAATAACTTTATTGATAAAGTTAAACAAAAAATAGTTCAATTAGCAATCATGTCTGCTTTCCTTGGATATAATTTTCTGGGGTGAAACTCGCTGCTCTAAGGCTTCATTCTCCCTCAGTATTAGCAGTCTTCCTGGGCGTTCCAGCAGTACAGGAAAAGGACCCAGTGCTTGTACTGCAGGTTAATACTCCAAAACAACAGAAAATGTCCTGCCTTTTAGTTGTTTTTATTTTTAAAAGACAGAGAAAAGTATATTTTAAAAAATGTAATACAACAAAAGCTAATCTCATTGTGGGAATTTTTTTCTAGAAAATTTGTCAAATTAAATATTTAGTCCTGCAGGGGATTACAGTCCTCACTCAAAATGATGTGAGCAAAAATCTCTTTGCTTGTCCTACAAATATGGCAAAATCCATAATAATGTCTGATCTAAACCTGCATCAAAAGATAAACTGCTTTTTTAAAGCCTGTACTTGAAAATTATTAAATTCCAGAACTTTTTTCTTCCTTTCCAGTCTAAGCCTTGTTGTGCTGGTACATCCCGATTGTTTAGCGACATGCTGAGCTGAAATATAATTCAGTTAGTTATTTGTTTTTCTGGGTTATTTTTCTGCTGGATGAATTTCCCTGTCTACTTCATCACTTGGTCACAGGAATTGCTGTGCATACAGAACAACATGTAGCAAGACAGAGTGGCTGAGGACAGGACAGGAGTTTCAGTGAAGTCAGCTGAAGCCGTTCCCCTGCCTCCAGTGAGCTGGGTCTGCAGCTTCTGAAGCCTTTCTGCGTCCCTCAGTAATCTGACAGCAGTGAGAACTTCCAAAAGCCTTTCTCTCTGAAATGTTTTATTTGCCTTAAGACTACATGTGTTGGGGAAATGCTACTGTAAGCTTATCCAAAATGGCCAATGCAATGTGAAAACACTCCTATTTTTACAGAGGCACTTGTCCTTCAGCAAGCCTACAAAGTTGCAAGTCCTCTAATAAACTTGTTTCAGAGAGCATAGCATCACAGCTATCAGCACCAGAGAGGCTGACCATGATGTGACTATCAGCAGTCTAGGAAACAGGACAAAGTCATTGAAATGTTCATTCAGGTGAATGGGCAATCCCTAAATTCTTTCCTCATGGCTGCAGTTCTCTCACCTAATTACCTGACCTCTACCGGATCTATCAAAGCTGCCTCCACTTACACTAAGGAACTGGTTCTACAACAAGGGTGATATGAAGAAATATACGACAGTGTTGTGAA